TCACACCACGAGAAGCCCGAACGACTCACACCAGGACGAAGAGCCCGAACGACTCACACCACGAAGAGCCCGAACGACTCACACCAGGAAGAAGGGCCCGAACGACTCATACCAAGACGAGAAGCCCCAAACGATTCAAACCACGAGGAGCGCTTTCTCTCCCTCCTCCTCCGCCTCGTCCTTCTCCCGCTCCCCCCACAAGGAGGATGTACAAGGAGGTGGGAGAAAGGAGGAACAGTGGAGATATGCGGGGCCAAGCGGACACACGCCTGAAAAACACGACTGTCGGCATGCTTCGCAAGAGTTGCTGTTGTGAGATGGGCTGGTGGGGATACGTGAAGCGTAAAGAACTATTGTGTCACAGTGGGCCTGGGCGTCGGTGGTGTGGGAAAGAAATAGCATGCGCGAAACTTACGTGCACAGGCACGTTGTCTCTGGGTTGCCGTGTAGCGATGACCTGCAGCTGTCGCCCCAATCGTCGTAGTGGTCCAGCCGAGGTAACGTCCCCAAGCAAGGTCGTGGGCAAGAAAACGAAATCAATCTGCGTGGCAATCTTCGCGCCGAAGAAAGTCGGGACGTGGCCGATGTACGTGTTGACCGCCACCATCCCGAGCTCTTCCATGAAGGGCAAAATGCAGTCCACCGCGTAGCGCTGTTTGTCCCTGGCTGCCTCTCCGAAAACGTCCGAATCCGTAGCGCGCCACGTTGGGTCACCGTCCAGCTGCTGGTAGCCGAAGCCCGAGTTGAGGCCGACGCAGGAGATGGGCAGGACACGCTTCGTGTTGAGGTAGGGCAGGGAACGCATCCAGGCGACGAGCGCGTCGCAGGTACGGCGGTAGGCGGTGGCGCTGCCCGTAAGTGGCGGCGGCGGGAAGTAGGCGGAGCAGACGCCGATGTCATAGGCTGAGCACCGAGCCCTGAGCGCCAGTCCGCGTCCCGCCAGCGAGGCCGTGGGAGTCCAGGTGTGCGTCACGGAAGAACTCTTGCTTTGTGCCCCCCAAGAGGATAGTGCAACCTGCGCTCTTGTGGGCGAAGGGACCCCGAACCCACCCACTTTCCAAACACCAGTTGTGATCTCCAGCCTTCCGCCAGCAAGCCTCCCAGGCACGCTCGCGGCCATAACCCTTGGCCGTGGTGCCGTTCAAACACACAAAATCGTAGGCCCTGCAGGCCTGCGCAATCGAAGTCAGCCTCTCCCCGCTGGACGCATGCAAAAGGACTGTACTGGAGCACCCGCAGGTGTCGTCCAGCCATCACGCACACGAGAGGGAGCCAGCAGCCCACACCGTAACATTTCCAAGCCATCTAGTGACATGTGAGATGTGAAGAAAGGATGTCTCTGCAGAGAGGCATGCAGAAAGTGTGGGAGCGGCGCCTGTCGCCCTCGGCATCCGCCTGATGCTCCTGACCCAGGTGCCTTGGGACGTGGGAGGAGGAGGAGGAGGAGGAGGAGGAGGAGGAGGAGGAGGAGGAGGAGGAGGAGGAGCAGGAGGAGGAAAAGGAAAAGGAGGAGGAGGAGGAGGAGGAGGAGGAAGGAAGAGGAGGAGGAGGAGGGAAGGGATATGTTGGCCTCTGGGCCCCGCTTTTTCCGCCCCTCGCCCTGTCATGGACGGCTCCAGGGCAAGAGGCCTGCCAGAAAGGAACGGGTCGAGGCCTCTTTGGGTGACCCAAAAGGGGGTCCAGCGGAAAGGGGGTGGTGCAATAGATTTGGGGCAATTGTGTTGCAAATGTACGGCGCTGGAGAATTGTATTGCGTTGTGTTGCAGGGTTGCAGGTAATGTGGTGCACGCGAACATCCAGCAATACATTTGCGCCCCGGAATTCATTGCCCGCCCCACATGTATTGCAGCTCAACAAATCTATTGCACCACTCCCTTGTCGCTGGACCTCCTTTTGGGTCAACCCGACACTCGGCGGCGAGCGAGGGGTGGAAATGAGAAGGAGGAGGCCTTCTCAGAAGGCGGCGGGACTTCTCAGAAGCCCTCGCGCCTGCTGAGAAGTTTCCTTTGTCTTCGGGGAAGGCTTAGAGAAAACTTCTCAGAAGGCCGGGGGACTTCCGAACCTCCTGAAAAGGCCTTCTCCTTCTCCCTTCCCCCCCTTCGCTCGCCGCCGATGATCGCGAAGATAATGCGAGTAATCCTTCGGAGAGGCTTCGCAGCCCGGCAGAGCCGTTCTTGCGCAATCTAGGCGGGTCTCGGGGCAATTTGGGAGCATTTGTGGCCAGCCCCCTGGCCGAGCCTTCTTCCAGGACCTGTTCCGATTCGATGTCGGGTTCGCCGGGCTCGACCCGATTCGACCTTCGATGTTGGCGATGCAATGCGGCCCGGTGCTCGCATGGTGCAATTGTGTTTCCTGGCGCGGCCGATCCGATCCGATTCTGACTCCGTGCCGATGCGGTCTGATCCGAAGCACGTTGCGATCCGATTTCCCGATTCGATGCTGACTGGTCAAGCCGTCTGGGCTGCAGTGGGACGGATGCGGGTCCTTCTTGGGCCATCTTGGGGCCTCTCAGATGCTCCTAGGGGCCTCTCGGGCCACCTTTGGATCATGTTGGGCAAATTTGGAGCTGTCTTGGGGCTTCTCGAGCCCATCTTGGGGCAATATTGGGCGATATTGGCGGCATCTTGATGTAGCGCAATGCATCGGACCACTGGGGATGAATCTGCTGTCGGGCGCGTTCGTGCTGTTCGGGGCCCTCCTCTGGCATCCTGACCCCCCTCGACGAGTCTGACTTGGACAGCGTTGTCTTCGAATTCGTCTTAGGGAAGCAACCGTGGGGCAGCACCCTTCCGTCGTGATTCTTTCCTGACTCGAGGGGGTCTGGGTTTCCTGCACCTTTTAAGCCCGCGGTGGCCGTTCAGGGGCCCTGGGGCCCCTTCCTGCAATCCTCGACCACCGCCCCTCCACGTTGACTGGCCCCCCCCCCGCCGTCCGCATCGGAGGAAGAGGCGGGGGGTGGCGCGCGCGGCGGGCGCGCAGTGCAGGCGGCGGCGCGGGTTGTGATCCCCGCGGCCCGCACTGGGAGCCGCCGTCGCCGCCGTCGCCGACGTCGTCGACGTCGTCCTCGACAGTCGTTTACGTGGCCCTCGACGTCGTCGTCGACGACGTCGTCGACGTCGTCGGCGTCGTCCTCGTTGTCGTCCTCGACGTCGTTGACTTGGCCCTCGACGTTGTTGTGAACGTCGTCGTCAACGTCGTCCTCATCGCCGTCCTCGTCGTCCTCGACGTCGTCCTCGACGTCGACGTCATCGATGTCGTCGCAGTCTCCGCAGACCTCCGACGAATAGGGGGCTGGGTGAGCTGGGCCTCAGATGACTGCGGCATCAGCTGCGAGCCAGAGGTGTTGGAATACAACACCACCGAAAACGACATGGCGCCGAGCTGGATCTTTTGGTTGGGTCGTTCCCTTGTGGCATTCCCCATGTACGCTCCGCCTGTTTCACCAACGACAGAATCACAATTACTTCTGTCCTCCCCAATTACCCCAACCCTCGCCCCTCCCTCCATCTGTGCCCCTCCCTCCTTCCCCATCCCTCCCCTCCTCCTCCAGCTCTCACGACCTCTTCTCTCCCCATTCCTTCTCCGACGTGCCCTTTGCTGACAGCGTGGCCCCCCCGGACGGTCAGACCACTTCCCTGGGACCTGCCCCTCGCCCGGCATCGTCGGCTCTGACTGCCCACGCGGCCCCGCGGGGGCCCCCAGAGGCCGAGGACGACCCCAGACCCGGGCCCCCGACGTCACCGGACCCTTTCCCCAAGGCCGGCGTCTCTCCCGGAGTCAATCCGTCGACGGCCTCCTGGAGCTCCGCGAGGCCCCCCCGGGCCGACGACGATGCAGGACGTCCGCGCGGTGTTTCTGCCCACGGCGTTGGACGTCTGGGAGGCCCGCCACCTCCCCAGATCCCCAAGCCGTGATTTTTTGAACACGTCGACCCCAGAAGTCTCGACTTCGGTCGGGCGTGTCCTCCTACGGGCGGATTTGGACGACAAAACACACACAGTCCAAAAATGCCCAACAAGACTAAACAAATAATGCTCCGACTATTTTAGACTATTTTGAATATTCTCCCTGTAGGGAACGGGCCCGACGTACGACCCATTCCCCTTCACCCGCTTTTCACCCCGAGCCGTTCTTGTTGACGGCCCCGAGGGCCGGCAAGGCCCCCCAAGAATCGAACATGGACAACGCCCTCCCGCCCCGTCTTCTTCATGATTCTATTCTCGGGGAGACGCAAGACCCGGGTACAGGGGACTCGGAAATCCCCGACGAGGTCGTCAAAAAAATGACGAGGCCGAGCCTGCATTTTGACGAGGCCTCCCGCTGCAGACATCCCACGAAACTCCTCCTCGCCAAAATCCGAGGCGCGGTCGTCAAAAAACGATGGCGAACCCGAGTCCCGGCAAACCCGGGTCTTACGCTCCCCCGATATTCGGCGTGTCGACATTGGAGGGAAGGGGGGGGCAGGGGGACGGGGGCTGGCTCCGGACCGCTGCTTGGAGCGACTCTTTGGGACTGTGGGTCCGCCCGCTGGGGGAGGCTCCGCCTGCTCGAAACGGGTGCCAAAGACAGGCAAGATCTACTCCACTGGGGGGAAGATGCGAGGGCCCGCGCCGATCGGCAGAAGAATGAATCTTCAAAAACGCTCACAAGATGCGAGGGCCCGCGCCGATCGGCAAGAGAATGAGATCGAGAAACACCTCCTGTCATGCCTTTTCGCTTGTGACCCGCAAGGCTCTGGGAGCGCCGCCCGGTCGCGATTCTTGACCACGGCGCGAGGGGGTCTGGGGGCAGGCTTAGGTCGGGCATGCCCTCCTACTGGCGGCTTCTGGCAGAAAAATTCGAAAAAGCCTGAAAGGAAGCAGAAATAGTCAACAGAGTATGAGGAGAATCGCCAGCAGACTGTTCGTCTGCTTCGCTTGAAGATCCCTCCTGCAGAGGGACATGCCCGACGCGAGGGCAGGCGTGGCGGGCGCCGCGGCGGGCGGCGCTGCGGGCGGCGCCCCGCGCCGTCGCTGACCAGGGCGAGGAACTGGCCCCGGTCGGGGCCCGCCGCGCCCCAGCCGTAGGCGGCGCAGAGGGACCGGAACTCGTCGGCCCACTCCTGGGGGAGGCGCAGGCCCACTCGGGCGCCATTGTCGCTGTTGTCGGCGTCTGACCCCTGCGGGCCATGGCAGAGTCACGGCGGGAGGTTCCTCGCTGTTTTCGGCCTCCGGGGGACCTTTTGCCGGGCCTCGGGACCATCAGAAAACGATCCGGGGTGAAAGTCAGGTCCCGAGAAATGGGTCGAGGCTCCTGGGAGTCGACGGTGCTCACCTGTGGAGAGGGGTGGGGGGCGGGGGCCCCAGACCTCCAGCGTGTTGGGCACGTGCGGATGTCTTGCGTCGTTGTGGGCCCGTGGGGGCCCTCGCTGGGCTGCGGGAGACCGTCGACAAACTGGCTCCGCGTGAGGCGCCAGCCCCGGGGAACGGGTCGGGACCTCTGGGAGGCCCGCACTGAAAAACAGTACATCGGCACCCTGGGTTCGAGGGGACGGCGTTTGGGACTTCCCCCCACCCCTGCGCCGCTGGCCGCCCTGGGTTCGGGCCCAACAGTGCTCGTGGAGCTTTGGTGCGCTCCTTCCAGTATAACCTCCTCCATACTTCCCACAGCCTCCTCCTCCTCCTCCTCCTCCTCCTCCTCCTCCTCCTACTCCTCCTCCTCCCCCCTCTTCCATGGAGGAGGTTTGGTGACGACGACGACGACGACGACGACGAGGAACGAGAAACGAGGAGGAGGAGGGAGGAGGAGGAAGAGGAGGAGGAGGAGGAAAAGGAGGATGAGGAAGAGGAGGAGGAGGAGGAGGAGGAGGACGCAAAGGTGAGCGACAACGAACGTCGTGGCAAAGGAAAATGCTACCGACGCAAATCCTCCAAATCGGCCTCTCGAGCCGCTTTGGGCGGACCCCTTGGATGGACATAAAGCCCTCCCTTCATCCTAGCCAGTTTCTGGCTCTCTTCGGGCGTGGGGGAAACATATGATCCAGGGCTCCGACCCCCCCTCTCATGCTGATGCCATCGGCCCCTCCCCCCCGAGCGATGGCCACCCCCCTGTGGTCGTGGCCCTGTGGGTGTGTCGTCGTCTTCGTCGTCGTCGTCGTCGTCGTCGTCGGCCCATCAGAGGGGGGGTCCTGCGAATCCTGGGACACATCCCATCTGGGGGGGGGAGGCCTGTGAACCCTCAGCCCAGTGTCGCAGGAGGAGGGGGGAGGGGGGAGGAGGGGGAGGGGAAATACCGCAAACCCCGACATCATGTTTTCTTCACAACTTCGACCCCCAGAGGTCTCAACCCATTTTCCGGACCAGCTTTTCATCTCGAGTCGTGCTTTGACGGTCCCGAGGCCTGGTAAGGGCCCCTGGAGGCAGAACATAGCGACAAACCTCCCGTCGTGATTTTTCCGCGACACCCGAGGGGGTCTGGGCACGAGGAGCAGGAGGACGAGAGAGGAGGTCGACGGCGACGGCGACGGCGGCGACGGGCGCGGCCTCCTCGGTGCCCGCCTTGTCCTCGAGCCGCTGCCCGACCTGGCCCCCCCCGTCGGGCGCGGCCCGGGGGCGCGGCATGGGTGCTGGGGCCCGCCCGCCTTGGGGCGGGGCAGTTTGTCTCTCCTCCTGCCCCCCCCCTTCGATCTGGACGGAGGGAGAAGGGAGGGAGGAAGGGGAATGAGGACAGAGGAGGAGGAGGAGGAGGAGGAGGAGGAGGAGGAGGAGGAGGAGGAGGAGGAGGACCAGTGTAAACCCAAGAGTGATCAACGATGCTGGAATAAACCCTCCCTCCAAGCTCCCTCTTCACAGGCCCCATACAAGGGTTCACCTCCACTGAGGAAACTGCCTCGTTGGAAGACAACCGTTTGAAGACCCTGATGCATGCCAAAACATCTTTGTCGGGATTCCAACGCCACGGATCAACCTGACTGTCGCGTCTTGACGATCCTGAATCGCCCCAGAACGCCATTCTTGGGATTTCAGCACAGCGAATCAACGTAACTGTTACACCCTCATAATCCAACATATTTCCAAACCATCCTTTCTGGTACGCTGGTCATGGAGATCCGTGGAACTCTTATTCGTTTTTTGTAAAAAAAACGAATGTGCGCGGCGCTGAAGTGATAACCACATATTGAAAAGGAACCGCCCTCAATCCGTGAAGCTCTTGCAATTTGTTAGAACGAATGTGCGCGGCGCTAATGCGAGAGCCACAATTTGAACACAACCCGCCTTCAATCCGCGAAACTCACGGATTTGTTTCAAACGAATGTGCGTGGCGCTAAAGCGAGAACCACATTTTGAAAGCCACCCACCCTCAATCCGTGAAGCTCTTGATAAGTTTGAAACCAAATGTGCGCGGCTCTTGCAAAATTTGAAAATGAATGTGCGCGGCGCTTAGGCGAGAACTGCATGTTGACATCCACTCGCCCCCAATCCGTGAAACTCTTTTATTCCCTACCTAGGCTCTGCCTAGAGGGTTCTTACTTTGTTTGCTTAAAGGGGCCGGGCAGTGTAGGCCGCCCCAGGCGGTTCCCCCAGTCCCCGCCCCGCGGTTCCCCCAGTCCCCTGAGAGCTTTAGCTTTAGCTTTAGCTTTGGCTTAGCTTAGCTTTAGCTTAGCTTTAGCTTAGCTTTAGCTTAGCTTTAGCTTAGCTTTAGCTTAGCTTTAGCATAGCTGTAGCTTAGCTTTAGCTTTAGCTTAGCGTTAGCTTAGCGTTAGCTTAGCTTTAGCTTAGCTTTAGCTTAGCTTTAGCTTAGCTTTAGCTTAGCTTTAGCTTAGCTTTAGCTTAGCTTTAGCTTAGCGTTAGTTTAGCTTTACCTTAGCTTAGCTTTAACTTAGCTTTAGCTTAGCTATACCTTAGCGTTAGTTTAGCTTTAGCTTAGTTGTAGCTTAGCTTCAGCTTAGCTTCAGTGTAGCTTTAGCTTATAGTTAGCTTAGCTTTAGCTTAACGTTAGCTTAACTGTAGCTTAGCTTTAGCTTTAGCTTAGATTTAGCTTAGCTTTGGCTTAGCTTTAGCTTAGCTTTACTGTTACTACTAATGCTGGTTTCCTAGGGGCTCCAACTCCTAGGTAGGGTCGCACTGGGATATTTGTTTTGAAACGGATGCGCGCGACGCTAACACGAGAGCCACATGTTGAAAACCACCCGCCCTCCATCTGTGAAGCTGTTGTAATTGCTGAAATTTCAGGGTCGTAGATGGTGAGGGAGTCTCAGGCGAAACGCCCAGACCACCTTAAAACTGGCCTCGGGGTGCGACAGGGGGAACTTATTTATATGGCAAAGGAATGGAGGAGGAGGAGTAGGAGGAGGAGGACGAGGAGGAGAAGGAGGTAAAGGAGGGAGGGGAGGCGGAGGAGGAGGAGGAGGGAGGAGGACGGAGGAGGATCCTTCTCCTCCTCCTCAGCGTCCTCGTCCTTCTAGTTCTGTGCATGTGGGGCCGGCCTCGTCGCCACCCGCTGGCCTCGGAGCATGGGTCAAGATCGACCATGGGAGCGGTCGGGGGGGTCCGGGGGGGGAAGGTGGCGGAGAGAGGGGGTCTAGGGGATCCAGCAACTCTCTGGCGTGGGTGGGCGGAGAACTCCTGGGAGCTCTCGGGGTCTAAACATGCTTATGCACACGTTCTCCATCTTCGCTCCTCTGTCCCCCCTCCGTCGAAAAGGAGTAAGAGAAGGACGAGGAGCAGGAGGAGGAGGAGGAGGAGCAGGAAGAGAAGGAGGAGGAGGAGGAGGAGGAGGAGTAAGAAGCGGAAAGGGGAAGGAGATGGATCAATCGGACATGGATGAGGGAGAGGGGGAAAAGGGGACTGAGGAGTGGAAGGACGAGGAGGGAGATGAGGACGATCAGAAAACACGAAGAAGGGGGTGAGAAGGAGAGGTGCTCTGCTGTGCAGGGTGAAAGGGGGGAGCGATTCCGTAGGATAAGGAGGCGCGAGGTTCGCGGAGGCGGGGTACGAGAAAGGTGGGAGTCTGTGAGACCTCCTGAGTTCAGGGCGACTTCGGCGTCCAGCGATCCCGATGCGGAACTTCCTCTTCCTCCTTCTCCTCCTCCCTCTCCTCCTCCTCCTCCAACTCTTCCTCCTCCTCCTCCTCCTCCTCCTCCTCCAACTCTTCCTCCTCCTCCTCCTCCTCCTCCTCCTCCTCCTCCTCCTCCTCCCCCCTCGGACACCCCTGCTCTCTTATGCTTTGGGGGGGGGGGGGGGGCGGCAGCCTCCCCTGTGCCGGAGCGACCAGCTGCCGCGCGGGGCCTCTCGCCGAGAGCGGCCCGCGGTTCTGCTCGGCCCGCGGTTATGCTGGGAGGCTGTGATGTGATGAGGTGACACCAGTCGCGAAGCGAGTCTATATAAATAGATGAGGACCCCCGAGCCGCCTTCTCAGCCTTGCTGAGAACTTTGGGCCAACGCTTCCTGGAAATACGGTCCGGATACACCCGCCGAGTCCTGGTGATCGGGGCGGGAGGGACCTTACGGGCTGGACAGAAATCCGCCAGGCCACGCAATTGTTGGCGGCCATCACATCCAGAGGCTGTGACTTCGGTCTCCAGGTCGACACGCGTCGTCGGGCGCACGCTGCATGCATCACTGCTCCGTGGATCTGCCGGTCACGCGCCGGTTCCACGCATCGGGGCCTGTGCCCCGCGGGGAGCATGGGGCCACGTGCCGCTCGATTTGGCGACGGAGCGCTCCGACCTTGTGCGGAAGCAGGGCCCGTCGCTGTAACCCACGCGCCTTAATTCCTGTCTGCGTTTCCTCAAAACTGCTCCTGGTGTCTTATATCTTGCTTAGTGTGTTCCGTGGGCCACCGCAAGGTTCAGCAGTGCGAAACATCGGTTTTCGCCCGCGAGCGATAATTCTGCCAGCCCCTTTCGAAATTTCGATAGCTTGCGAGAGCACTCGATGGTTCACCGTCGCCAGATACTAGCTTACGTCAAGAAAGCACTTGACGGTAGGGGCATCCGTTGTCTCCGTGTCCATTCAAGAGGTCTGGGACCTCGGCATCCTCGCCCAGAGACCCTGCCAGCGCACACCCTGCCGTCAGCCTGTTTTTCTTCGTATGTGCAAGCGCTCCAGCTCTGCAAGCACAGATCCGCCCAGGAAAATTGAGGCCGTGCTCTCCCAGACATCCAACACCTTGAACAGATCCGGGCAGAGCTTCCGAGTCTGTCGCTGCTTCGGGCCCCTGGGGGCCCTGGGGCCGCCAACAGAGAAAGCTCGGGGTGCGGCGCTAATTAGCCCCGGTGACAGGGCTTCGCCCGTGCTGAAAACGTCGCGGCGTCGGATCTCTGTCCTCGTGCGCTGGTGAAGCAGGCGGCGTCGGCACGGCACCACCCATCCACCCAGCCACGAGCTCGTCACCCTCGACGAGGTTGAGGGAGCCGCCCCAGGGGCCGGTCGGCCGTGAGGGCGCGGGCCCAGAGGTGCGCCGCGGCCCTCCGGGCCCGAGCCGAGAAAAAGCGGGGCACGGAGCCCTCTAGTTGAAGAGAAACCGCCGCCGGTCCATGCCCAGGAGCTCCTCCTGCTTCGCCCTGATGTCCGCGATCGGCGTCAGCACAAAGAAGTCGTACTCGCCCTCCGTCTCGCCCTCCGTCTGCAGGGCCACCAGGCCCTTCGACGAGTACAGGACATCGAGGTCAACCGTCTTGGATTCGATCTTCTTGCCCTTGACCTCGACGTTGTCGTTCCCGTCGGTTTGAATGTCATCGAATAGGATCCTCAACCCTCTGGTCCCAGAGGTCACGTAGACTCCCTTCATCATGTTGGACATGTTCGGGAAAGGGCCGACTTTCCGGATCACCTCGACCCCGACGGCCTTCCTTCCCTCCCGCTTAGAGCAGAACCGGAGCAAAAACTCCTTCATCTCGAGCCCCCCGAAGCCAAACACGCCCTCCGCATCAATGGTCATGCCGGTGCCGAACACCTTGTCCACAGCCGTCTCCCTGGAGGCCCAGTAGATGATCCACTGGCCGACGATCTCGCGGTTCGGCACGGGACAAATGCCCGCCAAGCGCGCGAGGGTCTCGCGCATCAGGAAGATGTCCGGCTCATCCGTCTCGTCGAACAGCTTCAGCAGCGCTGCCTCGAGCATGGACGACTCCGCCTCGCGCTCGGCCAGCGACTTCGTCCTTTGCAGGGGCACGAAAAACAGCATGCACATACAGTCTGGAGCTTCTGCTTGACGTTTCGCTCGGCGGCCCCTGCGACACGCAATGCCCTGCAAGCTGATGGCGTATCCCTCCGCTCCACGGGGCGGGCAGATAGGACACGCTTTGGACGCTGACGGCTCGGGAGCTAGCGTGGCGGGCCAGAACTTGCGGCGCGACACGCCAAGCCAAAGCTCATGACCCTAAACTTCGGGAGGTCCGCGCGCACTTCTTGGATCCGCGCTGGGCCCCCCTGGCGCTGCCTCGGGCGCAGCCGCTGGCGCGCTCCCTCTGTGCGCCAGGGAGCGGGGTCATGCGCCGACGCAAGAGATCCCCCCGAACACTACAGTCGAACTTGCTTGGAGAACACATGCGAGAGGACACACGACCCTTCCGAGGGCCACATTGCCTTAGGAATGTAGCAAGGCATGGGTGGCGAGGCAGGACACGAGGGCACCCTCGATCCAGCAGGGTCGACCGAATAATCATGGCCGATCGTACTGTCCATGCCGTTTTCCCTTCCTCGACTCCTTGCGCCGCACGCCACCCGGGCGAGACCACGGCGCGGCCGCCCGGGGGCCCTGCCCACGAGCGGCGACAACGACGACGACGACGACGACGACGACGACAACGACGACGACGACGACGACGACGACGACGACGACGACGACGACGACGACGACGACGACAACGACAACGACGACCCGGGCGCCCTCGCGGACCGGATTCTGGGGCGCAGTCCCGTGGACACGTGGTCGCACGGACGCGCTCCCCGCGCGGGGCACCCGCGACCACGCGCCCCGCATCCGTGGGGTCGCTGCCCGGGGACCCGCCCGCGAGGCCGTGCCCAGACATCCGATGCCTCGGGATCCACCAGAAAGAGGGGGGCACCCCGAGGGGGTCACGAGTTCGATCCGTCAGTGCACCCGACTGCCGCCCAAACAGATGCCCCCCACCCCCGCATGCCCCGCCCATCCGCACCTGTCGGGAGCTGCCGGCGGCTGGGGCGCATCTGGTGTGGGCGGCTCGGTGAAGAAGCCGATAGACCCCCCCCCCCGGGGCACACACACACACACACACACACACACACACACACACACACACACACACACACACACACACACACACACACACACACACACACACACACACACACACACACACACACACACACACACACACACACACACACACACACACACACACACACACACACACACACACACACACACACACACACACACACACACACACACACACACACACACACACACACACACACACACACACACACACACACACACACACACACACACACACACACACACACACACACACACACACACACACACACACACACACACACACACACACACACACACACACACACACACACACACACACACACACACACACACACACACACACACACACACACACACACACACACACACACACACACACACACACACACACACACACACACACACACACACACACACACACTCTCTTTGCGGGATCCCGAATGTCGCGCATGTGTGTTCGCGACAGGGGCCCCCCTGGAGGCCCAGACCCTCTTCCCTGGGCGTCATTCTTCGTGTGAGATCGCCTTTTTTGGGGGGCGGCCCGTGGGCCGTGGCAGCGTCAGAAAAACCGCCCGCTGCACTCGCTTTTTCGCGTCGCCAGACTCCGAAGGTGGATAGGGACCCAGACGCGCGATGTCCTGCTTTTCCTGTACATCCTGTGGTCTTGGGCCCTGTGATCCAGCGCCCCGCGTCCCTCCCACCTCCTCCTCCTCCTCCTCCTCCTCCTCCTCCTCCTCCTCCTCCCATTCCTCCCTCCTCCCATCCGTGTGCCTCTATCTTCCGCCTGTCTCTGTTATCCCTCGCACCCTTCGTGCCCCCATGGGGCGCTCCACCGAAGGCTCCAATGGCGGCGCCCGCATGGCACCACCGCACCCGTTTCGGCACACCCCACACGCTTCGTGGCCCCATAGGGAGCTCCCCTGAAGGCCCCAATGGCAGCGCCCGCATGGCACCACCGCACAGGTTTCGGCACCCCCTCACACGCTTCACACGGTTCGTGGCCCCAGAGGGAGGTCCACCGAAGGCCCTATGAACAGCGCCCGCATGGCACCAGCGCGCAGGTTTCGGCACACCCCTCATACGCTTCGTGGCTTCAAACAGAACTTCATCGAACGCGGTCGGTTCCCGCAGCGCGGCACTCACAACGGCATATGTTCGGGTCTCTCGCCGGGATACAGACCCTTTCCCCTAAAACCGGTTGTTCATAGCTCTCTGACGGTCCCGGGGCCCGGGGCCGGGCCCCCCCAGAGGCCCAAAACTGCTAAAAACCTTCCCGCCCTGCTCTTTCAAGACGCGAGCACGTCTGCGCATCTTGTTTCCGCGCGCAGTTTGGGAGGGGAGGAAGGGGGCAGACACAGCAGCACGAAGACACACTCGGCGACGCAAGCGTGAAAGCACTGAGCCACCTCAAGTGGCGTGCACGCGAGCGGATCTGAGGCGTCCGGCCTCATCGACGGCGTGTCCTGCGAGAGACGGCGAATATAAAGAGCATGTCTGCGGATATGTTTCCACGCCCACGATTGAGCAGGGACCGACCGTCCCGGCATTCCTGTAGGCCTACCACGAAATGTCTTCAGAACCCACAGAGGTTCTTAGAACAACACCATGTTCTTAGAACATAGCCCCGATGTGCTAAGACAAGACAGTCTCGGCCAGACATGTTCTAAGAGCACCTCGTGCAGACCACAGAGGGTTCTTAGAACATTCTTCGGCGGGCCTTCTTCAGGCAATCCAGGACGCTTCGCCACTGCTCGACACGACCTGCGCCGCGCCCGCGCGCTGGCAGCGCCGACCGCCGCCACCAGCGGCGCGGCCGCACCGAGGGCCGCCTTCGGGCGTTGGCAGAACTGGGTTTAGTGGGACCTGGTTTAGTGATGTGTATCGGGGATGGACAGACCTCCCTTTAGTAAAACGTGGTTTAGTGAAAACGACCTGAGGCCCAAACCTGGCTTGCGCAAACCTAGAAAATGACGGCCACGGCGCCCTCTCGAGAACCGAAAACGGACAATTCACTAATCGACGTGTCACTGTTGGGGGTTCTGTCCAGCCCCGAGTGTACTGGGGGACGCCCCCCCCGCCCCATTCCACTCACCGGAATTGCCGCCACCCGAAAAAAGACCAGCTACGGCACACCTGGTTTAGTGCGTCTGGCCAACTTATGGGGTCCAAGGCCCTATGACTGCTCCAAACCCTTTATTAATCGTCCCCCAGGTCCGAATTTTAAGGCGCCTTTTGGGCGAAAAATTAAAAATAACCCCAAAATAATAAAAAACGTTTTGACTATTTTGGAATATTCCTCCTGTAGAGGGACAGGCCCGACTTAAAAGCCACCGGGTCCCCTAACCTGGGTCACTGGCCATACCCGATCGCCTGCGCCCGCGGCCGACCCGCCGCGCCGCCAGCACCCAGCGCCGCGCCAGGCGCGCGGCCGCCCGCCCGCGGGCTCACTGCCTGCGCGCGGCGCAGTCCTGCTGGCGTCGGCTGGCCCGCGAGGAGCGGCGCGGCCATCGCCATCGCTGGTGGGCTTGCTCTCCACCACCACCACCACCATCAGTAGGAAGGGAAGGGGGTCCTCCTCCTCCTCCTCTTCCTCCTCATCCTCCACCTCCTTCCCCCCTCCATCTTATGGTGGTGGTGGTGGTGGAAAACAGGCCCATCAATCGCGCGCACGCGCGCTCCGAAGGCCACGAAGGCCGCGGCAGGGCACGCCTTGATCTCTGGCTGCCGCCCGGCTGCCAGGTCTGCGCGGCCGAGTTCAGAGAAGCCCGGGGCTCAAGCATGTCGAGGTCTCGCGTTTGTGCCTCTGCCGCCTTCCACGAGTCCTTCCGCCAGCGGAGCCGTCGCCGATCTGCCTGTGCCAGCGGACCCCGCAAACCCGCCGCCCGCTGCTTCTGTGCCAGCCTCCCACAAGAGGCGAGGGTGCGCCGAGAGCGAGACCGTTTCCGGAGAGCGCGCCATACAGTTGGCACATGCGATAAGACATCCTGCTCTAAGAAATAGAAGGGCGCCCTGGTCCTCGAGCTCTGAGCTTCCTGAGGTGTCCCAGGGCTTCTGTGGGCCCCCAGGGCCATCGAGGCATACGAGCCTTCTGCGGGGCACCTGCTGGTAAGCCAGTCTGTGTTATTTGACATGCCTACTGCACGTCAGCGGTGTCTCGCGGTGCTGCTTGTCGCGGCGCCGTCGTGCCGCTGCGCCTCGGTGCCGTCGCGTCGGTTGCGCCTCGGTGCCGCGGTGTCCTGGCGCCGCCGTGCTGCGGTTCCGGACAAGCGGGGTGTCGTGAAGTCGCGCTGTCGCAGCAAGCTGCTGTCATGTCAAGGTGTCGTGGCGTCGTGGTACCGTCATACCATGGCGTCGGTGCGTAAATCAACTGAAGATCACTTCGGCATGCGTTGTGCTATTATCTGCCACCGCACTTGCAGCGCCGTGTGCATATGCCTCTCTCTCTCTCTGTGTTTGCGTGCGTGCGTGCGCGCGCGCGCGTGTGTGTGTGTGTGTGTGTGTGTGTGTGTGTGTGTGTGTGTGTCTGCTTGTGTGTGTGCTTGTGTGGGGTGGCTGTCGGGCCCTTGTTGTTGTTAGTTCCTTTCGCTTCTTGCATCGAACCCAACACGTGTGCATGTTCGTATCAAGTCCCTGCGTTATTTTTGTCTTCCCGGCTGATAATGATACCAACATCTGAATTTGGGGGTGGGACTTCCAAAGACTCGACCTCCCCCCAGGAAGCCCGCTCGTCCCCTCCGTCCCCCCAAAGATGGCCCCAGGTGGCCTCCAAGACGGCCAAGATGGGCTCCAAGTGTGACAGAATGGCTCCTGTGACCTCCACGACGGTCCAACTGGCCTTCAAGACGGCCACGATGGCCCCAATACGGATCCAAAATTCACCAAGACGCCCCAAGAGGCCTCCAAGAGAAATGCCCAAATCAGACAGCCTGCCTCCCCAGGGTGGCCTGAAGAGACCCCCGAGACGACCCCCCGACGGGTCGAGAACGACCTCGGGCGGCCCAAACAAAAACCCAAAGAGACCTGGAGATGTGGGGACCAAGAGGTTCCGATACTGCTGCTCCCTGGACCTCTCCCAGGGTGCGTTCTGAGCAGGACTTCGGAGAGAATCTGGCCGTGGCGACGGGGGCTCTCCAGAAAGAGCAGCGGCATCGGTATCCTTCTCCTCCCCTGACGAGAAGGCCCCCCGAGAGGCCCCAAAGGAGGCCTCCCCCGTCTGGCGGGCCGCCCGAGCGCGGCGGCGGAGATCGCGCGGCCGCCGACCCCCCCCCCCCCCCCTTGGCCCGGATCCCCGCCCGCCATGTCCACGAAGCGCCGCAGCGCCGCGGGGCCGAGAACGCCCTCCTTCCGCCACGGGCTGGCGTGCCCCCAGGCAGCAGGGGGCCGTCTTCGTCGTCATCGTCCTCCTCCTCCTCCTCCTCCTCCTCCTCCTCCTCCTCCTCCTCCTCCCTTGACGTATTGCTCCTCCTACCGCCCTCCTCCTCCCCCTCTCTCCCCTCAGGCAGGGGTCTGTCGTCGCGCTCCTCCTCCCTCCTCCCTGCCCTCCCTTGACTTTCCAGGATGCGAGGAAGATGCGAGGCGGGGATGTATCAGCAACCACCGCCCAGGGAACCGACGTCCTGGGACCCCAGGGAGCGACGGTTGTGGATATGTCTGGGCCCCAGGGGGTTCGAACAGATCGAGACTCATCGCCTGTCGAGGTCCACCAAGATCGATGCTCCAGGCGATTCTTATGGGCAGATCTCCACCTCGGACTACACGTTTGAGTAATGTTTCAGCCGGGGTTCGGATCCGTGCTCCCATGGGTCTAGACGTCTGGAGGGCTATGTTCTGACACTCTGGAAGGTCAGGGTCATCCCAAGCTGAGCAGCGGAGCCGCAGGGTAGTCCTTTAATGCGACTTGGCCACGTTGCTCGATGTTCGATGCTGCTTGGCAACCTCCCTCCCCTCGCTTTTGGCACGCTCGAAATGGGTACGAACAAAGATGGGCACGATGCCCAACAGCAAACGTTGATCCAAACCAACAGCGGCTGTTGTTGCGCAGGTGACTTGCACCTCAAGCGGGCATCGCTCCCACCGACACTGACAGCGCGTTCTGTTCAAAATGGGCAAGAAAGGTTGTTGGTCTGTGTCCCCGATATTTCAGCCCTCCTTTCGATCGTGCACTGCTGCTCCCTCCCCTTTTCTGCACATACATAAACAATATGAATACTACTCTCCCGTCTCCCCTGGCCTCTCCGCGTGCTGCTGTTACACACAGGGCTTCAAACGGTGTGTGTGTGTGTCTTATGGTTGGTGCTGGCGCAATCCGATTGTTTCCCGAGTTTCAAATTGGTGCCCCCGCTGCAGCGTGGGCCTCATTTTCGGATCGGCGCTTTGCTCGCGTCGTTCAGAATGGCGCTCTCGCCCCAGCGCGGGCCACTGTTCTGGACCCAAGTTTTTCTTCATTGTTGTCAACCCCCTCGTTTCCCCTCCTCCGCCTTCCCCTGGTCCTCCTGTTCCTCCCGTTCCTGCCACTCCAGCTCCTGCTGCTGCTGTTCGTCCTCGTCCTTTTCCTCCCGCTCATCCTCCTGCTCACCCGCCACCTCCTCCTCCTCTTCCTCCTGCTCCTCCTCCTCCTCCTCCTCCTCAGCCTCCTCCTTCTCCCCCTCCTGTGGACGCGGCTCCCCTTTCTCCGATTGCACAGAAAACGGTGCGTTCTTGTGGCTAGAGTTGCAAAGCGGCTATGACACGCGTCCGCGGATAGAGAAAAAGTCCGCGCAATGGGAAGGGATGGGAGGGAGGGATTGGATGTCAGATGGGGCGCGAGAGCACCTAGATTGCCTCAGCCTGTCTCTTTCTCGCTCCCCTCCCCTTGCGTCCCCGTCGCCCTCCCCGACCCTTCCCACCGCTCCCGCGGGAGCTGCGCGTGAGACCAGGGGCGTGTGGAGTGGGCGCGCTGCCGCTAAGTGCGCGCAGCGAGAATCAAACCCGTGGCGTCATGTAACTTTCCAGCTAAGACGCCTCCAAGCCGATGTGGCCCAACATGTCCGCAATGTAGCTTCGATATGGCCCTGAATTGGCGTGGCGAAAGCTTCGCCCAATTTTGCCACTGCGACGCTCATGGGCACGACGCAGTGGAATGTCGAAAACTGCAGACGAGCACAAGATCATCCCAGACGAAACGCTCACTTTGCTATTGATTCGAAACAGATCCCAATTTGTTTCGAACCTGTTTTGTGAGAAAGTCCCGCACGAAACGCTCAGTTTTCGATTGCTTCAAACCGACTTCGAACCTGGTCCGAACCTGCGTTTCGAAGAAGTCCCCCACAAGAAGCCCACTTCTATTGTTTGGAACATGGCTCGAACCTGGTTCGTTCCTCCTTTTCGAAGAAGTCCCGCACGAGACGCCCATGTCTCTATTGTTTGGAGCCGATTTCGATTGTTTGGAACAGATTTTTGAACCTGGTTCGATTCTTGAGGAGGAGACTTCACGCGGTTCGCTTGTTTCGAACCGCCATCCCGTTTAGCCTTATGACATGTTGTTCATTAAAAGCCCGAGGTTGCTCGCCCCCCGCTGGCACAGCTCCATTCCCGTCACATTGTGCAAGGATCCGCGCGCCTAACGGTCTCCGGTCCACGCTGCGCCAGCCTGTCAAACATTGGGCGATCTTTTGCAAGGCGCAATGGATGCCCCCAACTGGCCTCCAAGACTGCCCTCCAACGGTTCGGAAAACTAGACGGCCCCCAGACCTTCCAAAACGGCCCCAATATCTCAAATGGACGAGAAGAAGGCCCGCAAGAAGCCCCACGAGGACCAAGAGGGCCCCAATCTGGCCCCGAAGCGGCTAGGCCAGGCTCGCCCTAGGGCCCCGCCGTGACGCACGCTCTGCTGGCCTGGCAGCAGCGGCAATGCGGCAGCCCCCCCTGCGGGCCCAGACCTTGTTAGGCTTTGACTAGCTCGGCAAAGTGCAGCAGATTAGAAGGCTTGAAACAGGATAGGCAGACTGGAAGCCTTGCTGTAGCCTGGGTAGACGATGTTGGAGCCTGAAGGATCACTTCTCGGGGGGGGCGCAGAGCGTGAAGCACGACGGCACCCCAATTCTCCTGGAGGCTCACTGGCGGCCCCACATAACTCAAGACGGCTCCAAGAAGGCTCAATGCGGACCCAGCTATCCCCAAGATGAGCCCAAGATGGTCCACGACGGCTGCGAGATGGGCCAAGGTGGCTCCAAGAAGTGCTGCAGACGGCCCAAGAAGGCTCCAAAAGGATTCCCAAGAGCCCCCCCCTGCAAGCGTCCGCGATTTCCTTCAGATGCTTGACAGGCTTTCGCGTCCTCGCCTCGCCTTTTTCTATCTTCCGACGCTCCAAGACGCCCCAAAACGGTCCCCAAGATCGCCCGAATATTGCCCAGGAGAGCCCCAGGGGAGCCTTCCCATGGCCCAAGAGGCCTTCAGCATGCCTTCAAGAAGGCCCCACGATGGCCCTGGCGTCGCCACGGCACGGCTGACTGGCGTGCGGCTTCTGCCCTCCGAGGGGGGCCTGCCGGGCCTCCCGCTCGAGGCAGCAGCCTGATGCAGTACGGCTCGCTATGCAAGGCTCGGGCCCCTGCCGCCCCCGCGCCTCCTCTGCCCGCGGCGGCGGGGCCCGCCTTCGGCGGCGACGATCAGGGCGAATCGCCCAGGGGCGGGCACTGCACAGATCATCGAAAACACAGATCATCGGCGCCCCTGGACACAAGTATTGCTCTCGCCTTGACTATTCGCCCCCGTCGTCGCCTTTGACGCCCGCGGCGCAGGGCGGGACCGCTCCTCCCGCCCGCCGAGGCCGTCGAACACAGCGGCCGCGAGCTCGCGGCGGGTCCGGGGCGTGCGCCACTCGGCGAGGAGGGCGGCGATCTCCTCGCTCGAAGGCGGCCAGGGGGAAGGGACGGCCGAGAAGGGCACCATGGCCCGAGGCATGTACGCGGACGACGGGGATCCACGAACCGTGTTGAAAAAAAGGCCACCAACAATCAGTGTGACAGTAGAACGAAAAAGACTGTCGGCCAACGTGGACCCAACGCACTGTTTCGAGCAACCGACGTTGTGCACTCTCTGTAGTGCAAGCTGTGTGGTGCTATCTATGTGGTGCTGCCTATGTGTTGCTACCTGCGTGGTGCGGTTCATGTTGTGCAGTAAATGTGGTGCAACATCTGTGGTGCTATCTTTGTGGTGCACTTCGCCCTGCCGAACTTGAAATTGTCAACTCCACTGCTCGCGCAATCATCCCACCCACCAGCCCGCAATTTGTCTTGCAAAACCATGCGGCGGCGATTGCCAAGATTGTTCGGGGCTGGCTGGCGCGTCGCTGCGGCCGTGCTGGATCGCGCAGGCTCGCGCGCAGAGCGGCCAGCTCGTCTGGCGCGACCAACGCGGCACCGGTGGCGCTGACCGCTGGGGGCTTCCTGACGCGTCTCGCAAATCGCGCTGACGCGCGGGCACTTCAGTGCGAGTCGGTGGCTCGAGCGGGCGCGGTGTCAGGGCCACGTCAACAATGGCAGACGCGATGATGACAGTAGCAATGCTAGTGACGACGGTGACGATGACGGCAAGTCCAATGACGGCGCCGATGCTGATCACGCCAGTGACGATGATGGTGTCCACGTGTCGGTGATGAAATCTTTCGGATGGTATCGAAATGCGCCCGCGTGGCCAACGGGCGCGAGTGGCCCGCATGGTAACATTCGGCAGGGGTCGTGCACCCACCAGCACGCGCGCAAAGGCGCTTGAATGATGTCGACATGCGCGCGCGGGAGGCGCGCATGGTGGCATTTGGAGAAACTGTTGAACAACCGACGGTTTGGTCATGATTCGCAAAGCCATGTGTTTAAGATATGTTCGTGGCGCTCGGTTTTGAAGTCCTGCCGACATCTGAGATTTTTGACGGATCTCGGCATGCGCGCGCGACGAGGCGCGCGTGTGCATGTCGCCCCTTGTTCAGCGCGTTCGTCCAAACTGATGAATTTTGATGCACGGGTGTGCGCGCATAGGATTATTGGACGATGGCGCGGGGGTGGGTGGGTTCGAACCCTGCTTGGTTGGGGCTGGATGACTTCATGTTGAGAACGGACGGTTGGCCATTATCAATTCCGAAATGCGCATGCCCAGGGGAATTGATCATCGCAGGGGCGGGAGCGAGAGGTAGATCTTAACTCTTGCTAGAGAGAAGAAATTTGTGCTGTGCAACCTATGTGGTGTAATATATGTTGCGCACTCTATATGGTGCGGTCTGCGTGGTGCAACATATGCTGTGCAATTTATATGGTGCAATATTAGCTGAGCAATCTACGTTTTGCAATTAATGTCGTGCAGAGGCCCCCCCCCACTCAGCGAGCGCGCTGGCGATCTACGCTTTCGACTCGCGAGCGCGAGGAGACCCTCTTGGTCGAATTTGATGAACATGTTGGAACACTTTTAAACAGACAAATCGCAAGACCGCGCGCGCAAACCTGGTTGCGAAATCTGTTGTTGCGAAGTCATATGTCTGTATATGTTTTGGAACGCTCGAGTTTGAAATCCTTGCGCGCTCTCAAGTTTTGGAGGATGCAAGCATGCGCGCGCGACGACGCGCGCGCGTGCACTTCGTCACGTTGTTTTGCAAGGGATTATTGCGACAGCGCGCGCGCGAGGGCGTTCGAACGATTTCGATTTGCGCGCGCGAAGCCCGTTTCGTAGCATGTTACGAACCTGTTGGAAATCAGGGGTTTCTTAACAATCTGCTAGAGCGCGAGCGCAAGCTTTTTCGAGCATCCCGGTTGCGAAGCCACGTGTTTCTATATGTTTCTGGGGCATTCGATTTTGAATTCCTTACGCAACCGAAGGCTTTTAAAAGATTTCGGCATGTGCGGGCGACGACGCGCGCGCCTGCACTTCGTCCCTTTTGTTGAAGGGGATTCTTGAACCTGGTGGATTGTGATAAGCGGGTGCGCGCGCATAGTTTTTTCACAAAGGATAAGGGGGAATACCGGTTGAGCTGGGAAGATATGAATTCGTTTTTCGGATGGACGATGGGGCAGGATCATGTGTAAATTGCACATCCCCAGGGCCCCAGGGGGGCCCGATAAGTCCGGGGGGGGGAGATCCTAATACTCTTTTGGATCGGGTGATCTAAGGCGGCAGGGCGGTGACGGGGAGGCGACGGCAACGACATAGCCGCCAAACCCTCCCCCAGGCCCAGACAGCGGGCGACGAGGCGGTGACGGGGCGGCGACGGCGACTACATAGTCGCCAGACCGCCCTCCACGCCCAGCTGCATATTTCAGAAGAGAGACCCCCTAAATACAAGCAGTGCTTGGATAATTAAACAAGACGAACATGGCCTGAAGACGACGAGGGAACCAAGGGCAATGAACTCTCTGGGAGGTTTTTCGTAGCCTCGGCCATGATTTCCCCATCCACAGTCCTCAACCCCGTCTTGAAAGTGTCCTCCTCGCGAGAAAAGGCCTTAGGCCCCGACGGGACGGTCCACAGGACAACATGCCCTAGACCCAGGCCTCTGATAATTTCCAAGCATCCTGTGGTGTTGAGTCTACGTTTTGAAGACACAGCGGCGTTTGGCATCCCTCCCACCTCCACGTTCCTCTCCTCCCGCCTCCCATTCCTGCCTCTGCCCATGCTGGCAACCTCCTCACACGTTCGGTGGCCCCATAAGGAGCTTCACCGAGTGCCTCCGTGGCGCAGTTCGCATGTTGGCGTCATGCCCGTTTCGGCACACCCCTCACACTTTTCGTGGCCCCAAAGGAGCTCCACCAAGGCCTCTGTGGCGCATTTCGCATGCGGGCGTCATGCCCGTTTCGGCACACCCCTCACGCGCTTCGTGGCCACATAGGATGCTCAACCGAATGCCTCCGTGGCGCAGATCGCATGTGGTTCCCCACTCATGTCGGCACACCCGTCGCACGCGTCGTGGCCCCATATGTGGGCTCCACCGAATGTCTCCGTGGCGCAGTTCGCATGCTGTTCCCACCCAATTTCGGCACCCCTCACCCCTCACACGTTTCGTGGCCTCATGGAGAGCTCCACCGAGTGCCTCCGCGGTGCAGGTCGCATGCGGTTCCCAGCATATTTCGGCACACCCCTCACACGTTTCGTGGCCCCATGAGGAGCTCCACCGAGTGCCTCCGTGGCGCAGGTCGCATGAGGTTCTCCACCTATTTCGGCACACCCCTTACACGCTTCGTGGTCCCACAGGGAGCTCCACCGAAAGCGATGGCCACAATTTCGGCACTCACAACTGCATATGGTTGGGTCCTTCGCCAGAATGCTTTGTTGTTAGATCCGAATCTCTGTCCGTGATTTCTGCCCCTCTGGCCTATTACTTGAATCGATGTGGTGGTTTCTGAATTGATAAGGGTTTTTTTGTAGATGCCAGGGTGGGTTATGCGTAGCCTCTAAACTAGCTTGTAAGTGGGCTGCACGTGCCCTAAGTGGCTCGGGTGGGCTCGATGCCTCCGCGAGGTGGGTGCAGTCCACTCATAGCCCAGATCTTAAGTCACTCAGGGCACTCCTGGCCCACTTATGAGCTAGCTTACGCCAGATATAATGCCACACTGGCGTCCACATCGAGCCCCCCTGTCCACCAAGCCCCGCCCGCGGAGATCCAAGTCTTGGGACCCACTTTCATCCGGGGAAGGGTTCGGGACCTCTGGCGATTTTCTCCGCGAGGAAGAGCTAGGCCCAGCGGTCCCCAACAGGGGGGGAGGAAATGGAGGAGGACGAGGAGATGGAGCAGGAGGAGGAGGAGGAGGAGGAGGAGGAGGAGGAGGAGGAGGAGGAGGAGGAAGAGGCCGGTGTTTCCTTTAAGACGAAGGCAAGATGAGGATGAACCGAAGTTTGCTAAGAGCTGGCGGGTCTGGAGGATGCATCGGGCGCCGCGGCCGCCTTAAAGCGCTCCATGACGCTCTAGGAGCGTTTCGGAAGGCTCCGGAGCGACGCTACTCATCCTCGGCCTGCTTGAAATATGCCCTGGACGGGTCAGACTCCAGCGGTTGGTGAGGAGGAGGAGGAGGAGGAGGAGGAGGAGAAGGAGGAAGAGGATCCTCCGATGTATCGGAGGACGGCGAATTGAAGGAGCAGGGCGGCGATCTCCCCATCCCGCTCCCCATGCTGGATACAACTTTTCCTTCTCGCCAAGGATGAGGAGACGGAGGCGGAGAAGATAACTAATCAAGTAGGACGATGATGATGAGGATGATGATGATGCTGATGCTGATGCTGATGATGATGATGATGATGATGATGATGATGATGATGATGATGATGATGATGATGATGACGAGGAGGAGGAGGAGGAGGAGGAGGAGGAGGAGGAGAACGAGGAGGGAGGAGGTAACCAACTAGGAGAAAGCCATGGAGGGGAGGGGGGCTTGCCACTCTGAACCGGAGCGGCCGAGGCCCGTGGAGGCGGAGCTCTGGATTCCTCTTCGAGGTGGAGTGCCCGCGGCACCGCTCGAGCTGGGTGTCTTGGGCCTCTCCTGCGTGAATGGCTGCTGCGACCCCGCCCACTGCCGCCTCTGTGGTAGTGGGTATCCCCTGTGGGGATTGCAAAAAAACCAAGGATTGCAAAAAAAACAGTTTTTTGCAAGAAAGACCAAGGGTTTTTTCGCAATCCTTCGTGCAAGGGTTTTTTGCAATCCTTCGTTCAATTGTGGTTTTTTTTTGCAATCCTTCGTTCAAGCGGTGGTGAACGAGGGTTGCAGCAGCCTGGTCTGAGGGCCCCTTGAGACCAACTGTCTCCCAGGAGCCTGTCTCAGCCTGTGAAATCCGAGCGGTGGAGTTGGGTCTCGTCCTTATCGGATCGGATCTGCTACCGCTGCAGTGCCACCACACCCCCGTCATCTTCCTCCGCCAGGCCCCGCCGCTCTTCTCTCCTGCTTGCTGATAGTCATGATTTGTCGGTGCACGAGAGG